TCTTAAACCATACTGACGAAATGTCACAACGAACGCATAGAACAGCATATGAGAAGTGCTTTTGATACCGATCAAGTATATGATAAAAGGCGGCGAATTAAGTAGGATAAACAAACCGCTTTTCATCCTTCAACTGAGACGCGAACTTTAAGTGCTAAGTTATGCCTTTTGAGACCCTCCATGTACCGTATTTAATGCCCAAGTAATGCTCTGTAAAGGCGCGTAAAATAATGATTTTTTTTTGTCACATTTACGCCTAAATTTTTCATAGGGTGAGTAACAAAAAGTGGTTTAAGTTTTCGAAAACCTATCTTACAGTCAAAAAATTTGAAAAACTAGAAGAGCCCATTTTTCTAAAAGCTATTAGTTTTTCAAAAATTTCTTTTCAACTTTTGAAAGTATATTTTTCAGATTTAGCGTTAGAAACTGAATATAAAAATAATGCTTAATTGAATTCAAACTCAAAATTCGATTAAGTCTGACTTCGGGGATCAGGACACTGACATGGTACATGCCCCTTTTTTTCCACTTTGCTTTGTTACTGAGAAAATTCATTTTTTTTAAATCAGAAGGAAAAAAGTGGGAATTCTGCCCATAATTCGCACTTTGTCCACCAGAACTCAACGTTTATGCAATAATAATATCATATTCGGAGTCAGCGTCAAAAACTGAGCCGAATGATATGCTATCCGACTACTTTAATTTTTTTGAATTTTCACGTCGTAAAAGCAATAATATTTTCAGCGAAAAGTGAAAATGAACGAAAAATTTTGCAATATATATCATTCGGCTCAGTTTTTGATGCTGACTTAGAATAAGGTATTTTGATTGCATAAAGATTGAGTTGTGCTGGAGAAAACTGTGAATTATGGGTAGAATTTTCACTTTCTCGCTTTTGATTTAGAAAAAATGAATTTTCACAGTGACAAAGCAAACTGTCACCATTTTTCCACCTGTAAAATCTTTCTTTCAGTTTTATGCATGGTGGAAAAATGGTGACAGTTTGCTTTGTCACTGTGAAAATTCATTTTTTCTAAATCAGAAGCGAAAAAGTGGAAATTCTGCCATAATTCTTCATAATTTGAAAGATTCTACCACATAAAACTGAAAGAAAGATTTCCCAGTTTTGTCTCGTGCTATTTCCTATAAGAAACAATTTTGAAATCATTGAAAAGGAGAGAAAGCTTTACAAAACTAAAAGGCCGAAGTTCTTCAACGAAAACTGAAAAATTCATAATTTTTTCGGAAAAGGCTCTTTTACAGCCGACAAACGGTTCAGCAAATAGTTGGTAGTTTCATAAAGATAAGATCGTTGAAGATGAGACAAAACGATATAAAATACCTGGTCAGTTTTGATGGTGGAAAAGTTTATTTAAAATTATCTACGTGCATAAGATGATATTTCTTAAATAGAAACTTTTCAAAAGTGAAAATGAAAATAAAATTGTCAATATCTCAGTACTATCAGTCATTAATCACAATCAATTCTTGTCACTAGAAATTCAGTCTTAAATCATTCCTGTTTATTTCCCATAAACCGAGTTAAAATAGTTGCAATTTGTTCTGGGTGTTCATCTGCCATTAAATGACCACAATCAGGAATAATATGAACTTCCGCATGTGGTATTAAATTATGAAAATATTGAGCACCATTACGTGTAAAAAGCTGAAAAGTAAACGAATGAAAATCAAGTCCATATAGCTGTATTATGCTTCTCTCATAACACTGTTACTTTCGCTATCTCACTTTATCTTCATATCCCCATAAAATCATCGTTGGACATTTGATATTTTTCAAAGTACTGTAGTAATCGTCTAGATTTTGATAATCGTACGATAATAATGAGTTTAATACTACAACAATAACGATTTTAAGACCTATAATATAATTCAATTTTTTAGAGAAAAGATAAAACGAACCTTTCGAATGCTCTTCAATATGTCGATTTCTAATGTTAAGGTATCCATTTAAAATTTGTTTTGGTACATTTATTTTTTTGAAACTTAATAAACCAATGGTCGTGTATAATTGTTCGATTGTGGACGGTAATAAGATATCATACGTACCAGCTCGTATTGTTTGAAATACTTCTGTTTCACAGATTTCACCAGCTAAACACTATTATTTATACATCATGTCACTGATAAAACATCTTATCCATACCTGGCGCTGCTAGTATAGCTAATCTGTTAACATATTGTGGATACTTGGCTGCAAACAATGAAGCAATAGCGCCCCCATATGATATTCCGATCAAATATAACGGACGAACAAGACCAAGTGCATTAATGAACTAAAACTTAACAGATACAGCATAATTCTAAAGTCCGCTTCAGTTTTTCTAGACTATGAGATACCGCTTTTATAACATCAACAACTTTGTAAACAATAAAAGAATCTTCTTTGAAGCCAATTGTGTCTCCATGACCGGGCAGATCAAGTGCAATACAATGATAACTTGCTGGAATGTCCTACACACAAAACAAAAACAAAAATGTTCGAGCTTGATGTAGAATGAAATTTGCCGAAAGTTAATGGCTTTGGTCTAAAGATTGGTGCGCAAGCAAGTGACGCTAGCCTGAGAAATTAAAATAATCGGTAAAAACTGGAAATCAAGTTTCTCTGTCAAAATTAGTGGCTACACCATTTTCGTGGTCAAAAACGAATATGAGTGGGAATGATTTTCATATACTGAAAGATGCTTACTTTAATGACTGATAACCATGTTTCTTTGTCGGAAGATAAACCATGAACGAACAAAAGAGTTGGTGTATTATCGTTTTTTTCACCTCTTACGCAATAACTTATTCTTATATTATCGTCCACAACTAATGTGTGCTTTTTTAAGCCGGCTCTGTATGTATTTATTCTGTTAAACAGAGTGATTGTTAAACTTTAACGCATCGTGAGAAGTTATCCTTACCTGAAATAACAGCTAGTAAGCCAAGCCTCCCTGAAACAAGCACAAGTAAAGCATTCTGTTAAAAACCTTGTTATATGCGACTCACATGTGTTTGAGTATAATGTTCCACAAAAAGTGAAACAGATTATTTCTCGGTGTATCTGAACTGGAGATCAGAATCGAACGAAATAATAGATAGATTTTTTCGTCAGAAAACCAGTAATTACCGTTATGTGTTTTAAATACTCAAGCGTAGAATTAACCTTTTACAGTCCTTATCTGAAAGGAAATCTTTAGACATGAAGTGGTTTGTTTCAAAGAGTAAACAGCAAAATTTATTGTTTTTGAATAAATGATATTTTATACAACAACATACCAAGAGTTGCCATAAACAAAAAACGTTTTTTGTTTATTAAACTTATATTCAGAACTGTTTCAAAAGTTTATGCGATTTTGTATTTTTGATTTTTCTCGTATACGAGAAAAATCAAAAATACAAAATCACGTAAGCTTTATATCTAGTGTATTAAAAGCATATAAATAGGTTGAATCTTCACTGTAAAAAATAAAGGGTACCCGGGGCACACTGAATGCGCGCATCAC